GATTGTCCAGTTCTGTAATTGATATATAACGAAGAATTTAACATCGATTTGTTCACCGTCAGTGTCATCCAACTTTGTAGCATATTTATGTATTTGCAGATGTAGTAGTCAGCCATATGAGAATGTGTCTGCAAAAATTGATCTGAATTACAAGCTTCCCAGATAAGCAATCTGTTTTATTTCACTTTATTTATACATTGAAGAATCGCCCTTCAAACGAAATAGGAAACCTCAAATTCAACATATTTTGTGTTCTCTTAGGATTACAAATTACGTGATTAAAGTGATTCTTTTTATTTTGGTAGTTCAACATTTCCAGATTACAATTTAAAATCAAAAAAGCAAAATTCAAAAATCCCCCAAAAAACAATTTAATCGTACCTTCGAACGAGTATGACCAACTGCTTTCCGCGCTCTACTGTCTTCATTCCCTGCAGTTCATCACAACCATTACCAAACAAACACATTAAATCCCCAAAAAAAAAACAAAAACAAAAACTACAATCAAATGTAACAGTTACCATTTCCAAAATCAACAATTAATCTCTTTGCCGCAGGACGCCCAAATCCGAAATCCCAAAGGGCCCGTTTCCGCTTCCCCAAGCAGACTCTCACTGCATCGCCGGCACTGCTATGTGAAAAGAACTCGAGGAAAGCTGCTAAGGAAGCGGGTGACGGCGTGACGTAGAGCTGGTTCGATAAGCAGAGAGGAGAGCCCGGGGTGGAGCAAAGGTATCGGACTAGGCGAGGCGATGCAGGGAACAATGTGCATCGAGAGGCGAGCTCCGAGAGGTGAGTCGGGCGGCGAAGTTGTAAGAGGAGGGCGAAGAGGTGCCAGGCCTTCCTGGACTCGGAGACGTTCCGGGTTATGGGAGCTGAGTCGGTGGGACGAGTCGCCATTTCCACGGTTGATTGATGAGATTTGGATCGGAGACAGAGAGAGAGAGAGAGAGATTGGAATAGAAGGAGAAAGATGGGCGCCAATTTTCATACGTGTAGGGTTTGAGATTTAGCGCCTGAAGAGTTCCCGCCATTTTCCCCCTCTCTTTCTTTAAAAAACAAAAAATTTGTGTAATTTGGGCCTGTTAGGCCCAAACCAGATTACTTGCAATAGTTTGTTCCTATAATTCGTTCAACATGTACAAGACGACTTGAATTATTATTATTATTATTATTATTTTTAACAAATGATATTATCTATTATAAACTTTTTTATTAGTCAATTACCCTCTAAACATTTAACTAATAAACTACTTTCCGCAACGGCAAATTTTCAAAGATTTCCATCTATTATTTCATCCACAATTGTCATGCGACAACTCGTAAACACTTTCGATTTGCTCTATTCTCTCGACTTTTATTGTTTGACACTTTCATATTTTATTATATAGAATTTTTTTTTTTTTAAAAAAAGGGTATGCTTCGTCATGGGATTCCACATTTTTTGGGGCCAAAAAGACTTACAGAGGCAAATCAGCCTTCCTTTGTCCACCATCGTGTGGTCCACCAACGCTAGGAATCGAATCCATGATGTTTTTGTATAAACACGAGTTAGATAATTGTTTTTAGCTTTTCAGAAAAATGAAAACTGAAAACAATTACTCAACGGAAAACCGAAAAATTAGAAAAGGGATATCAAATGAACCATTTTCCTCCTGTAACACACCCTACTTTAATCATGCTCTCATTTTTTCGTTTGATTTATTCAATCTGGTGACCAGTAATAAAGAGTAGTGCGTGAGAAATGTGTGGTTGGCATTTCCGTTGAGCAAGGTATGTGGAGTGCTCTCACGGGGAATCATGGTGAAAGTTAGGATATGGGATCACATACTGGGATCTTGAGCAAGAAATACTTTTTCACTTGAAGCAGGTAAGGTATACAGAAATCCACCTCCCAAAATGCAGTTATTCTGTTAATGCCTACCTTTCAACATGACATGTATTCCGCATCATATTTAATCGTCACCAAACTTCCAATTACCTTAAGGACTCGTAACAATCGGAAATTTGAAAAGACGGCGTGCAAATTAACTTGCAAAACGGTGTTTTAACTTGCAAAACAATGTCAGAAATGTTGCATACCGAGCGTATAACCACTGTTTCAAAATCTGCCTAACGCCGCATGCTAGACGGTTAATTGATAGGAGCATATTTATGCGACTTAGTTGGCTTGTTCTTGTGCATTTATGTCGTGTTTCCTTAGTTATTTTAATGTTTAAAGTCATTTTCGTGTGTTTTCAGATTTTATGGACAAAGTAGGCAAGAAGATGCATTTTGGAGCATTTTGGAGCAAAATGGAGCTTGGAATGCATGTCACATATTTGGGCCAAAGTGGATGGACGAATTTGAGAACTAAATAGGCCAAGAATGTGAAGAATTATGGTCCAAAAGATGAAGAACTCAGCCCAAAAATTTGTCACCCCAACTTGTCTTCATTGCCATGCAAAACAACATAGAATTCCCTTTGGATTCCCATGCCATGCTTGATCACTCTTGTCCCCTTCATAATTTCTGATTTCATGCTTCAATTCATCTAATTATTACACTTAATTGCTTGATACCTCTTGTTCCCTTCACCCACAAAATTTTATACAACTTTCACAACCATAACATGCACCAATTGATGCTCCATCATTCACATTTGGAATCTCATGCCTTGTGTACCACATGTTGCTGCACCTTTGACCCATTTATTGACACATTTTCACCTCCCTTTCCATCTCTATGCAATGTACACAATCATTCATGCCCCCTAGCTACAAGACCACTCCATTTTATCCTTCACACTTTGCATCATCACTTCATTTTCACCCTTAGACCATTGCACACCACATACACTCTTTGCCGTGCATTCTCCCTAGCCTAACCTGATTCTCTAAGGTTTTTGGGGCCTATATATACATGTTTACACCCCTTGACAAAGGGTTCACACTCTCATATTCACCATTCATCACAGAAATTCGTCCATACTCACCCTAGGTAGCAAAACACCCCAAAAACACCATTCTAGTGCCTAGAAAACATAACAGCCACTCCACCTTCTTCCACCCTCTTTGCCTAGTTCTCCACCACCCTCCAACCCTCAAACACTCCTCCACACTTACCCTAAACATTTCCATACCATTCCCCATCCATTCTACATCATAAAACTACCCAAAAATCCGTCCACAAAGCAATCTGCCGCAAGCAAGCAAAGGAGAATTCTTGGATGCACTTGCTACCCAAGTTGGAGCATTTTAGGTGTTTTCTTTCCTTTGATTTTAATGTCTAATTTTATGTATCTTTGCTTTGTGAGTATGAGGAACTAAACCCCTCTTAGTTAGGGGGTGATTCGAAACCATGTTCATACTTGCAATATGATTTGATTACATCCAGTTGTGATTCATAAGTTGTGAATTCAATTTACTTATCCGATCGTATAAAAAATGATTTGTGTATGTTGGTTGAGAGTGCACGCTTAATTTTCATGCATGAATTTAACGCTAGAATATAAGGGAGTTTCACCTAATCGTTATGAACTTATATTCACAAGTAGTGAAGGTTGCTAGTCACAATCACGTTAAGTAAATTCTTGGCATAAGTTTCATGCAAATCATAGTAACGAGTGCCTCGTCAATGCTTATGTTTTTCATAGAACTTAATGATTCTTGCTTGTATCTCTATTATGCAATTCATGTAGGGAACTTGTAGGGAATGTTTTGGGTTGTCGTATGCAATCATCCAATCCAATAACTTGTGGAAAAATTGAGGGTTAATTAGTGCAATTCACGGTTAATTTGGGGCGTTGAGTATTCATAGCTTATCGAAAAGCAACTGGAAATCGTTTTGTATGCAAGTGTGACATGTGTGGAGAAGAACCTCCTAGCTAGCCTTCCATCCATAAGTTTCATTCAAATTCATTTTACAATCTGTTTTGATTCACTTAAATTTGTCTAAGAATTTGTTTACTTTGTTCTTGTCTTAATTTAATTATTTTCGTCCAAAATCAACCCCATCTTATTTCTTTGAGTCATTTTAATTAGAACTTGTCTTAGATTATGTTTTTAAGTGTTTTAGTTCATTAGCAAACCAAAATTCCTCCAAGTTTGTGTTAGAGTCCCAAAACTGCCCAGATTGTGTGTTTAAGGTAGTTTTGAGTGTTTAGGGGCTGTTTGAGTCTTTTGGTTTGTTTTAGTGTTTTAAAGTATAGTTTTGCATTCTTTGAGTCTAGTTAGTGTTTTAAACTTTGTTTTTACGTTTTCAAGTCAGTTTCCAAGTGATTTAGCAATTCCTCCTAATCCTCGGCCTAGAACGATCCATACTTACATACTTTACTACAATTGATAAAAAGAGGGTTTAATTTGTGTGCTTATATATTTCGCATCATTAATCACTGCTTCGATTAATGCCTATGCGTTTGAAAATTAAGAAAGAGCGTCTAGACCTACTGAAACGCTCGCCTAACCCGCCCAGACCCGCCTAGACACTCATTTAGATTGCGACTTATAACTTTCATTTTGCATTTTATTTTTTCAATAAATTGCAAGAGACTTGTTGAATACTTAAATGAACACACATTATATATTTGTTCCCCATGTTTTCATTATGTTCCAATAACTCATAATATATATATGTCATTCCATTTTGTAATTTATGATGAAATCATATATATTTTAAATATAAACAGACATTTGTTTACACAAAATATAATAGGTCGTACCCAGTGCACAAGGCTCCCGCTTTACGCAGGGTCTGGGAGAGGTGAATGTCGGCTAGCCTTACCCCCATTTATGGAGAGGCTGCTCCCAAGTCTCGAACCCGAGACCTACCGCTCATGGGCGAAGGCACTTGCTATCGCACCAAGTGCGACCTCTTGTTTACACAAAATATAATAGATTTAATTAAATTCGTCTAGTCCGCCTAGACGCCCAACTAGACCCTGCCTAGCTGCCTAGGCACTAGGCCCCATCCCACCACCCGACTAGCACCTAACGTCTTTTAGAACCTTACGTATAACACGATGGTGAAACAGAAACATATTCAATAAATCAACTAATCGCGATGCAAATTTGCAACAATCATCATCAATATACAAAAACGGAAGTAAAGCAAACTTTCCAGCAAACGAAACACAAAGAAAGTATACAATGAATTTGTCAAGAAAATATTTCCTGATATCCTGAATAAACGTTAAGTCATTCTGTAGATGGTGAAGACAACGAAAGGTTCAAGAGGAAGCCAACCATGAGTCCAATCAGTCCCACTAAAATTGCAAAGGTGAAGGAGAAGCCTGGGTCACCCTTCCGAAATCTTCGCTTCTTCAGCATATCCTGTAGTGAACAACAGAGAATGTCGGGGGTGAGAGCTCAAGCATGTCGTTTGACATACTTAACTAAACCACTTTCTGAAGGACATTTCCATATACAGTTTATATAATTATACTTCCCCTACTTATTTCAGCTCCTATCAACCTCACCCGCATTGTCTGAATACATGTTGAAAGTAGGAAGAAAAAACTAGTCAAAATCCAGATACCGGGTCATTTAATTTCTTGAATTGTTGATCTGAGCATTAAACAACTTATAAGTGCTCTGACCATATATAGCTCCTCGTCTTCAATTTTCCAGAATCTCTATGGTCGCCTAACAAAATTCTAGTCTTCCAGCTTTTATAAGTTGTGATGAATGTCTCTTTATGTTGTATTAAATATACGTTGGAGTGTTAGATTTGAGATTAAAATATTTCCATGGTCCGGACTCAGGATTAACGCACCAACTTTTAATGTTTGGACTCTAGCTATAGGTACAGATCAAACAATCAAGGATAAGCTGCTTAGTTTAATACTTAAGTCTTTCTGTACGTGTGTGTATTAGAGAAAGCAGAGGAATAATTATCTACTAACCAATTCCTGTTGAAGTTGCTGTGTTTGTCTAACAGCTGCATCTCTTTCTTCCTTCAGGCGCTGGAAAGCTTGATTCTACAAGTACAAATTCTAAAGAGTTAGAATATGAAATTAATTCAAATATATTATGAATCGCTGGAATAACCTATGACATTTTATATTGGGCTGTTACAAGTTTTCGGTAAGCAAGCACTGAAAAATGTCAACTAAACAAATGGGAGCACATAATCTTCGTATGATTCAAATAACAAGTTCCGATGATTCACACTTCATATGATTTCTTAAATTTTCTTTTATTATTATTTTCGGACATGATTGTTCTGCAGATATATAATATGTGGAATAAACTTCGCACAAATGCCTAATATATTGTGATTAAAACATGCTAAACCAATAACTTCATTCAGCGACCACCTTTAATCACTACTAGAAGTCAATACTTGTTTTTCTAATTATGCTTTGTATTGCAAGTGATGAAATGTAACATACAACACAATATTTGGATTAATTTTGTGAAGTAGTGGATTAAAGACCTTCCCTCAAAAACACAGAAGTCCAGAACTATAAGATGCACATCCATGATTCATTGTTACGCAAAAACACAAACACGTTTTCGAAAGAACCACAACACTTACAGAATTAGTATCAAGACTACGCATGGAGCTCTGCATAGCTTCATCTTCTGAGTTTCCTTGAGCAGGAGTGATATACACAACTCTAAGCTTGCACTCCTCTAAAACCCTTCCAGTTTCCTTAGTGAACTAGACCAAACATTAAAGAACAAGTTGTTGTATTAAAATGACAAATCAAGCTAGCAAAACAGGGTGAGTAATGTCCAACTTAAAATTCTTACAGTATCTTGTGGAAGGTCATCAACATCAGTATTTGGAGGCACTGTTGTACTCAGCAGAAGAAATTTATCTTTGCACTGCATATCTGGAGGATATTCTCGTTGGGCTTGGAGGGTGACTGCAGACCCAGCAGTTAGTTGGAAGCCAGTAGTACAAAAGCTTTTAAGGATATTAAGGTGCGTTACGTGCGTATAAAAAACACTAGTCGACGGTGCATGAACAATATGTTACATTCTTATGATTGGCCAAAGCCAGCTAACACAATCTTAGATTGAAAACTTTCCATTTAGAAGTATTGCCTGAGAGGATCACCAATACTGGAGATCACTTGTTGGGCAGTCTCATAGGTTTCTGAAGTTCGAGGTGAAGAAATAAGATTACAAAACAAATGGAAACTGTAACAACATGATGAGAAGAGTATTACCTCTGATTACATATGAATCCCAAGGCTGTATAATACCAGTGTTGGGCCGTACAAAGTACTTCTTCGGTGAAGTGGTTTTAACCTAGAAACAAGAGAATGATGAAAACAATAAAAAAAAAATGCACTAGCGAATTCTAGATTGGATAAACATTGAATTCATTTATGAACAAAATTGGTACCTTAAAAGCAACATGGTGTTCTGTGTGATTGACAACTTTTAGATCACAAAAGCTTTGCTTTTCCAGCTCAACTGATCAAGAAAGTCAAATTCATTGGTATTTTATCAAACGTCATTAAACAAGAAAAGAAAAAACTTTTTATGCAAGAATTTGAAAAAAATTGCATGGACATGGCACTAACTATAGTCAAATTTATGTAATAGTCCAATATGTATTTATGAGATTCACTCTATTAGCCGGAATTGCTTCAATTTGAACCCTTCCAAAAACCAGAGGAGTGCTGGCACCACTTATCATGCGCATAGGTAGGTAATTAGGTATATGTGTGTCGTGTTTATGTGTATGTATAGAGCAAAACATAAGTATGAAACTTGGGGCAAGCAAGTTCATGGGATTCAGTGCTGGAACCAGTAGTTTATGATGTTTGTAGTGGATTTCATCACAATGTGTAGTCACTCTTGTTTATAACATACCTAATTCAGCAATTCTTAGATTGCTGTTAAACCAGTAAGATCTGAAAAGAAACCATAAGTCAACCAGAGTCCAGAGAGTTAAAGGAGTATAACTGCTAAGGTGACCACAGAGTCCAGAAATCTGCTAATCTATAGGGCATGTAATCCCAGTCACTATGCATAGTAATTAGTAACCCTTCGATAGCTTTCTGAAAGTAATTAGCAACCCAATAAAACGAAGATTCCTAACAATATCTAGGATGTAACCTAGGGGGTGGTATAAAAGCTATTCAACAATTGTTAATAAAATTCCGCTTTGGTCAATTAAGACAAAGGTTAAAAAGTAGAGCTCAAAAACTGAAAGAAGAGGCCATGAGGTACTCAACAAGAGAAGCAAAACAACAATAAAATAAAAAAGACTCATGTCGAATGATAGGTCCGTCACACATTATCTTATACGAGCTAAAGAAATCCTCCTCAAACTTTTTCCTTTGATCATATTCACCTTTTGCTTAGCACCCGCCATCATGTTAACAATCATTCAACATAAATCTACCGTCAATTGACAACGCAAACCTTTTAAGATATAAGCAATCATATGTGCCTAGATCACAAACCTTGCTGAGCTACAAAAGTAACCCAATAATCTATTGTTAATCTTAATTAAGAAAAAAAAACTGGCAACAATGATCTCTTCCCCTTCAATTCACCCAAAAAACAGTCATTGTCAATGAAATTCCAACATTTATGAGTTCATGCAATTCAATTATCCTCGAATTCTCGGGAAAAAAAGAAAGAAAAAAAACCATCTTTCTATCATTTGAGTATAATCATGATCAATTTCCCACAATAATTTAACTAAACCCATCTGATTTACCCAAAGCGGCATGCATGTATGTGTGTGTATGCAGGGGGAGAGAGAGAGAGAGAGAGAGTACATAGGAATTTGAGCTCATCAGGATGAACGGAAATCAACTGATTACCACCACCGGCACTCATGATGGAACACCACCAAAGATGCAAACAATTTTCCTTCTTTCTTTTTCTTCCGAAATTTCACCAAACAATCTCAAACCCTGCCGTTCAAATTACCAGAATAAACCCTAGCTCAGAAAATCAATTACAAAAACATGAGAGAATTAACGCCTCTGCGAGTACATGGTTCCCATAGAGAGAGAAAGCAAGAGAGAGAGAGAGTAGGTGTGTTTGTGAAAGAAAATGTGCGTATGTGTTAGTGAGAGAGAGAGAGAGAGAGAGAGAGAGAGAGAGATTGAATTTGGAACTAACATATGGCAGGATGAGGTACGGATTGCTCGGTCCAACGGCAAATTCGACCTCAGCTTCGGAGATTCAGCCACCAAGATCGGGTTCGGTCCGAGCGATCTTCAACACCAAAACCAAACTCACCTCCTAATTAGATTTTAGAGAGAGAGAGAGGAAGAGAGAGAAGGGGGGGGAGGCTCCGATGGAAACGGCGGAGCTTCGAAGGAGCGGGGAGAGAGAGAGAGAGAGAGAATGATGAGAAGGCCACGTGTCAACAGGAAGGGAGTGGTGACGCCCGCTTCAAAAGTGAGACACGACGCTGACGCTGAGGAGAGGAAGGGGAACTGGGGAAGGCTTTCGTGTGGGAGACATTATTCCTACCCGGTTTAAACTTTGTTGTACGTAACTCCTACCTACTATGCTGCCATGTGTCGCATAAGATCATCTCTAATTGAATGAGGGCTAGAGGATTCTCATTGGCCTTATAGTCTTTCTAGAAATTATATTTTAATTAACAATATCATGTCATATTTTATAACATCTCCAACTGAAGGGGTCAAAGGGCAATAGACCAAACATATCTCTGTGATAAAAAAATCATGTTCAACCGAGAGGGCCAAAGGGTCATAGGCCAAACATAATTTATTATTTTAATTGAATTAATATAATTAATTAAATTAAACTATCATATTAAAATAAGATTTTCAGACATAAGTAGATTATTAGAAATGAAGTAAGATGATATGGAATGATGAAAAGTATGTGAGAAATGATGTAGGAAAAAAATTAGATTTTTTAAATAAAAAAATCGTCCAAAAAAAAAAGTGATATGGCAAAAAAAAATTCTCAAAAAAAAAAAAGTGGGCTGGCTCATTGGGCTAACTGGCTGGTTGGCTGAAGATGCCCAGCCCGTTGGACTAATTTGATGCTTTTGGCCCGATGAGGCACACAAGCCCTTTGGCCTAGCTTTCAGCTGGAGACGGTTTTCGTGTTATTTTTTATTATTTTCGATCCTATGACCCTCTGGACGGATCGGTTAGAGATGGCCTAAGATACCCAAAGTTAACTATCAATAATTAATAATTTAAATTATCTATTAGTACAATCGTTTTCGTATGCCAATGATAGTTGGTTCAATTAGTAAGATTTTTACATTGTGTGTCATCCCACTAAAGTTTAAGTCTCGCCATTAGCCGTCCTCATTGTTGCATAATTTATGAATTTCTATGTATACATACCGATGGAAACTAGCATGTTAGGTGCCACAAGTAAATACTGTCAGCCAGAGGTTGTGACTAAGCCATGTCGCTGTCACTGAGAGTAACCAATCTCCCATAAAATTTTAATTATTTACAAATATATATAAAATCTTTTTGTCTAAAAAAATAAAAAATAAAAAGACAATTGATTTCTATTATAAAATAAAATAATGAGCATATATAATCATGAACAAACTAGATTTTGTGTTTTTATTCAAACATTATACACACGTTATCATAACATCTTTAATTTGAAAAAAAAGAAAAGAGGAAAATTAATGAAAATGGTTTGAAAACTTTGAGTTTTAACGATAAGAACAAAATAAAGGGTAAAATGAATAGTATCAGGATTGATTTTTTAGTGTAAAAATATGGTTTTTTCGTTAAAGTAAACAGTAATGGAGCTTTTCATTAAAGTTCTCTAAAAAAAAATCCACATTTATTCTCTCTCTCTCTTTTGTCTTTCACGTTTTTCTTCACTTTTCTCTTTTTCGTATTATAATTTTGGGCAAAAGACTGTTTAATACCCTCATGTTTCATGGTTTTCAACATTTAGTACATCAATTTTTTTTCGTCTCAGAGTCATACCTAAAATGTAAATTTTGGGACAGTTTCATACATCCGTTAGTCAAACTGTTAATTCTCCCGTTAAGTGATGACGTGGCGCCCATGTGGACAATGACTGGGCGCCACGTGTCATTAAAAAATATTAAAAATATTATTATTAAAAAACTAAAAAAAAAAAAAAAAAAACAGAACGACGGACGGAATCCTACCAAGAAGGAAGCACCGCCTATTGACGCTAAGGTTGAGACACGAAATTTGGGTGGGTCTTCTGCCAGCTTTCGAGGTCCGGTCTTCGAGTCCAAGGAGGAAGATGAAGAGGACGAAAATCAGTGCTGCGGCGACGAAGACTTTGGAATTGAAATTTGCGAGGAAACAATTGTCGCCAATGTGACAGAAGACAAAGTTCCAGAAATCGTAGAGGAGGAGGACGGAGAATTTCAACCACCGTAACTAGTCCCGGAACAATTTGAAGAAGATGACTTGAAGCCCATGAAAGATCATATAGATCTTGATTCACAAACGAAGAAACAAGACCTGAAGGAGATTGCGGGCAGCTTCTGGTCCGCAACTTCAGTTTTCAGAAAAAATTACAGAAATTGAGGTAGAAGCAGAAGAAACGGCGGAACGGCGGTGGATCGGCCACATTGTCGGTGGAGAAGCCAATCGGGAGACAATTCAGAGAAACCCAGTCGAAGATCGCCGATTACAACTTCGGCCCGCGCTCCTGCGACATGGATCCGAGGTTTTCTCTTGACGCGGGTCGGATGTAGCTCGATGCGGGTCGGATGTCGTTCGACGACCCGAGATACTCCTTTGACGAGCCTCGGGCCTCGTGGGACGGGTACCTCATTGGAAGGACGTTTCCGAGAATGCCCACGATGCTCTCAGTGGTGGAGGACGCTCCGGTGGTCCACGTGGCGAGATGCGACCCTCAAATTCTGATTGAGGAGCTGCCCATGAATTCCATTGAGGAGGAGACGGTTCCAGGCGGGTCGGCCCAGACTCGGGACTATTATTTGGACTCGTCGTCTCGCCTGAGGAAGAGCCTCGATCAGTCCAACTCCATTAGGAAGACTGCAGAGGTTGGGGGTTGGGTAGGTGCAGAAAAGAGAATGGAGAGAGGAGGGAGGGGGGGTCGGGGTGGGGAAGACGATAACGTTCTGGTTTTTTTTTATTTTAATAATAATATTTTAATATTTTTAATGACACGTGGCGCCCCGTCATTGTCCACATGGGCACCACGTCATCACTTAACGGGAGAATTAACAGTTTGACTAACATATGTATGAAACTGTCCTAAAATTTACACTTTAGGTTTGACTCTGGGACGAAACAAAATTGATGTACTAAATGTTGAAAACCATGAAATATGAGGGTAGTAAACAGTCTTTTACCCTATAATTTTTATTCTTTTTAAAATTTTATATTATATACACATAATATGTGAGTTTAATCTTTGTTTAGTTTACTTACTAGCATATGCCCCACACTTTGTGTGTGAAAATAATTTTTATTTTTATTTTAAAGTGGAAAGGAGAAAGGGAGAAAAAAGGAATGTGGATTAGAGACAGAAGTTTTCTTTTTTTATATTTTATTTTTTAAAATTAGAAGATGTTAGAATTATCCTCGGGTGAGGCTTTAGAAAAAGGGAATTTTTTTTTAAACTCATTTAACCTATTTCTACATCTAACTTACTCTTTGCACCCATTTAATTTTTTACTAAACTATTAATATCTCTTTAAACCCAAATTTGATACCTAATATACTCCATAAACCCAATTCAATATGTGGTTTTATTTTTACACCCATTTGACTTTTAGAAGTTGGTACACTCAACAAAATGTGGCTCCCTACCATTATGATGTTACACTTTTCTTCCTTTTTATCAATTAAAACAGTTTCTCGATTACATTTTACAAGAAGACGACGACCAATCATATAACTTAATTGAAACCTCTACATACCTATTATTGCTTTTCAGCAGTAAAATCAGGCTCCGCCGGCTTCTGAAGTAGCGTCACCAGTAGTCTCTCTAGCACCCTTGCCTTCCGCGTACCACTACGCGGTGTATTAGCAGCAAAACGTGAGGCAAAAATGGTGGCCCCTAGACTTGGGGAGCTGACCTCGGCCTTGGCCAGTGCATCTTGCAGCCTATTCTCCTCTTCCCGCAGAGACTCTTCTAGCTTCTTCTTCATATGACGGCGCCACGTTGCTTGTATAAACGTAGCTGCCCAAGTCCTCCACTGTTATGAGTAGAACCTGAATGTGTGCCGGAGGAGCTGCTTGCTGTGGAGTTGCCTGAACTGAGAGGCTACAATCTTCAAGTCATCCGCAAATGGGCAAGTCTGCAAGTCTGCAAATTTGCAATAAAAACAAGAAAAGCATACAAGTATCTGTCTTTATAATCAATATGTTCATTACCAATTACAAATTACAATATCAGTATTAATGAAGTGAAAGACGAACAGGTGATCCGTGCTTACAGAGGAGGACTTCATTTTCCATGCAACAACCTAATTGCTGTTCTTTCTTTTCGTCCTTGGGTTCTTGTTTTCAATGAAGAAATATGAATGCTCAGCTCCGTTAATAGGGTTTTTTGTTATTTCTTGTTTGTAGTTTTTACAGGGGACGAAAAATGTGTTGCAAAAAGCAGGATGATGGAGGAAGAAGTGATTGATCACAGGAACCCAAAAGAAACAAGAAGCAGAAGCATCAGCATTCGGAGAAACTAAACCAACAGAGAAGAAAAAAAATAATATAAAAACAGAAAAAAATATATAAAAACAGAAGAAGCAATCCTTGCAATATCTGCAAGTCTTGTTGGTTTTAATTATAATGTTTGGGTTTATTGATAAATTTAAGTTTTATTATTAATTTTATTTTGTAATTAATAATAATTATGCAATAGGGTAAAATAGACAATTAACATTTAAAATTTTAAGTTGGGTGTAAAAAGAGGTTGAATGGGTTTAAATAAAATTTTCCTTAGAAAAAAACTGTAAAATTTAGTTTGCGTGAATTTACTTTACTGCACATGATTTTGTTTTGTGGCAAAAGACAAAATTGTCATTTTACCATTTTTTTGTTGACAAAGAAGATTTTATTAATGTAGTTTAAATTAATTAATCAGGAGAGAGAAAAACATTTAAAAGTAAAAAATTATATTTTTTTTATACATAAACAGGAATTAACCCGTCCCGTAATCACAAGCCATGCCTGCTTCATGCTTGAAAACTTAACAGACAAATAATAGTATTTCGGTAAAATTATGTATGTTTTAGGATGATTTTTTTTAAAGTTTTAATGAAAAACTCACAGTACTGTTCATTTTAATGAAAAACCACATTTTTATACTAAAAAATCAAACTTGTACTATTTATTTTACCATTTATTTTGTCATTATCATTAAAATACAAAGTTTTCAAGCCATTTTCATTAATTTTCATTTTTTTACATTTTTTTAATCCATTTAATTGCACTCTTTCAGATGTAAATAAGAATATTAATTGGAAACTTGAAATGTGTCAACAAATA